TACAGAAAAATATTATTGCTATTACTTTATACTGTAACTGTATACTTTATAAGTATTGATAGTAAGAAAGAGATATAATATTTAGGTTTTGAATTGTAACCTGAATCTGTGTAATTATATAGTCAAAAGAAATATAAATAAAAATTAATGTTCTTACTTATATTGATGATTTAGATATAAATATAACATAATCAATTAGCATCAATATTTTAATAAAATAAATTATTTATAATTTTTTGTTTCAAAAATTTGGAAGCTAGATAAGACAATAGAACAGTTTTCTAATTATAAGAATTCTATTTTATTATATTAGTTACTTTTTAATATTCTTAAGTTTTTGAACTAAAACTTATTTGTGATAAAAAATAAAGAATATTTTTTCTTAATAAAAATTACTATAAAAAATTTTTTAACAAAAAAAACATAATTAAAAAAAAGTTTTTTTTTATATAAATAAAATTATTATAAATATTTTATTTATAATAATTATTTAAAATATTTTTATTTGATAAATTATTGTTTAAAAATATTATTTTTATTATTGTAAACAGTTTTAATTAAATTAATTACAATTAAATTAAATTTTAAATTTTGATTAACTATTAAGTATTTGTTAATTCTTTAAAAAATAAAAATAATTTTAATTTTTAATATTAATTTATTTATATATAACTTTAAAAATAATTTATAATATTAAATATTAATTTAAAAAATATTATTATTATTATTAAAGAAAATTATAAAAAAAAAAATTTAAAAAAAACTGTTATAAGTTTTTTTATATAACAAAAAAAAAATAAAAAATTTATTTTAATATAATAATAATTCTTAAAGTTTTTATATTTTTAAATTTATAATTTATATAATATATAAAAAACAATTTAAAGAAAATTATTATAAATAATAAATAAAATAAAAAAATTTTTTATATTGCTTTAATTAAATAATTATTTATTTAAAAATTTTTTTTTAATATTATAAGTTTAAAAATAAATAATTTTAATTAATATTATATTATTTATTATTATTATTTAAACAAATAAGAATATACAATAATTTAATAAACCATCTATAAATATCCATAAAACAATTATTACCTTATGTAGCCAGAAAATTCTATTAGAAGTCGAAAAACTTGTTTAATCTATCTTTAACCTGATTTGGTTAATCGAATTAACTGATTGCATCATATCCTTTTTTCGAATCATAGTAAATATTTTGTCATGCGACTAGTAAATAAGGTACGAAAAATACAGTCGTACGGGATTGGTGCCGGGAATTTTTGTTCAGTATAAGACCTTTTTTTTTCACATAATTCAAATCTTATTCGTTATGATGAGAATTTTATATAAAAAACTAATTGCATTAGTGAAGTGACCAGCCTTTTATTGTACATGTGGTATTTTTTTTTAGTCGGAAAATTTAACTAGTACTTACCTTTGTCCATATACGTAGTTGATTGACGGCTTTTTATAGTACTAAGACCATTCTTGTCATTTTCTAAATGAAACGAATATCTAATTTTAAAACGTTTCATATACATCTGAGTAGGCGATACTGATATTTATGCACGAAATAGATTCATCGACCTCTCCGAGTTTCATAAAACATTGTTTCCTGCCATGTATAATGTCTCATAAACTCGAGCGTTTTTTACGACATTTTGATAAATATTAACGTCAAAAAAAAAAAAAAAATACTCGATAAAATATTAAAGCCAGAAAAACAACATTTTGAGAGTGTTAAACAAAAAAAAAAAGAAACCATTCGAATTATTCTTGTATTGAAAATTAATATTAATTGTGACGACATAAAAAATGGTGAAATGGAAGAGAGAAAACGTCCCAGACCACAAGTTTGATTTTGTGGATGTTAGGGAATTTGAAAGACCGGATTGCTTATACAGAATGCGGTACTCATGGGTATTCTTTACCGTCCTAAAGTCTGTGTTGGTTTATGTTGCAGATTTGTGGACGGCCTCTGCTTTATTGCTAACGGACAAGTGGGCTGGAGCCATAAAGCCGGAGATACCTTTTGAATATTCAAAATGGATTTTCGTGGGTTCAATAGTTGCATCTTTTATTCTCTTAACATGGGAAATTAAAAAAGCAAATGCCGTAATATCATCCAGAGATATTTCTGTTGCCTATACCAATATTATCGCCTATCGATATTATACAATGATGAGCTATGCCCACTGGTGCTTCTTTCTAGCAATAAGAGAAAGACAAAAGAGAATAGATAAAATAGCTTTTTTCGTTTACTTTGGATTTAAAGGTAAGTTTTTTCTAAAATCTTTTCTTAAGTCGATCATCCACTTTTCATTAATAAATTTATATTTGTATTTAGGATGGAAACGTCTTTTATTTTGCGATGGACCTCGCCAAGTGATCAATTTTATAACATTATTTTCTTTATTCCAAGAACACAACTATTCTCATAATTTGAATGCCTACGGATCAGTTTATAGAAAGACTGCCATGGGAATTATGGCTTTCACTGTCGCAATATTTGTCTGTTCCATTGGTTTATTACTATTGGCATTTATTTTATATCTGCCTTTGCTCTGTAAAATTCAAGGGAATTTGAAAGAATACTGTTGTTTTAGGATCGACAAGAGGTAACATCTATTTTATGAATTCGAACTTCATTTAAAATACAAACTGACACTTTTTTTTCTTCATTTAGAATTTCCGAACTTCTTGCTAAGCAGAGAGCAAGACGAATCAAGGAAACAAGTAAAGAGCAAAAAATAACTATTCAGCCAACGTTACCAGAAATCGAGGATGTTCCCCAAAACCAAACACTTGCAATCCAAAATTATCCATCGCCTCCTATTTCATCGGGACAATATATCCAACAAAATCAACATAATGCCTGGTATTCCGCAAAAGATTCAGCATCTATTCCTATACATACGCATGAAACACCTTACGATATGCCGTCTGCACCTCATGTGCCTCCATTACCGCCAAAAAATGTTTCTTATTATTCGAATCCACATCCGAATAAGATGCAAAATTTTCAATATTCAGATGAAGCATCATTACCTTATTCCCAAAGCCAATATAACTATAAACCGGATTCTCAAAGCATGCCACTTACAAGCCCGCAAGATGTTGCGTACCCAATGCCCAGTCGTAATATTCACGCCTATAATGCACCATCACAATACTACAAGGAATATTTATCGGAGGAAATACCAACAGACTTTACACGAGCGAACTCACGAGAGAATCTCAAGTCATCATCTTCAACGACACTCGTTAGTAATAGTAGCTTTAGCAGCAATAGGAGTGATGGCGCAAGCATGCAAACTAATAGTCAACCATTGTTGGGACGATACGGTCAAGATCGTACGAATCGCAGACGGTACGATAATTATACACTTCAGGGAGGTGGAAAAAAATGATGAATTGTTACTATAAGTTAATTTCTTTGTATAATATTATTTCTGATAGCATAGATTTGAGAATTTTGGTAATATTTTTGCATTATTAAATTTATTGTATTTATATGGATGATAATGTGTCGATAATAAAATTACTTCAAAACTTAAATGATAAGGATACATTGGTAAAATCAAATTTTATAAGGTGAGTATACCTAATTTAACGCAGTTAATTTTACCCAATAGTAAGAATCGGTGTAAAACAAGCAAGTTTTTATTGGATTCAATATAATTCAAAATAAATATTTAAAACAAAAAAGCAGAATTCTATTCCAATATGTAAAATTTTTTTGGAAATTATAATTATCAAAAGATTAATCTCTTTTTATTAATTACATATTCTTTTCTTTCCAAGCTGTTTTATACATTTAATAGGTTGCTTTTCTGCTTTTACATATTCCATATTCCTTTTTTTTGCATGTTTCTTATTTTTGTATCTTTTAGCTTTATATAATAATTTTTTTCTTTGTTTTTTATATTAATTATTTGATTAGCTCTTATTTACAAATTGTTAAAAAAAAAAACAAAATATAATTTATTTTTTTTACTTTGATAATTGAAATTTTATTCTTTAATTATTTATACTATTAGCATATAAAAAGATGATAAAGAAATAATATGAAAAGTATAATAAGTATAATTAATATATCAGATATAATGTGTATATCAGATATAAAATATATATTATATATAAAGTATATAAGTAACAAGAGTATAAATTAAATGGGAACAATTTCTAACAGGTATTGTGCAACTTCTATTACTTCACCATATCTTGTTGTTGAACAATTGTCCTATTACACCATTTCAATATACTATACTTGTAGGATTGATATATAAATTATAACTTTTTGGATCTTACAATCTGTTGGTTAATTCATATTATTATTTGACAACTTGAATCAAATTTATATGTCTTTTTTGAATAGAAGACATGATCTATTATTATATAGCATTAGTCTAGTTCAAGTAACAGATTTATTAAATTTTCAAGTTAACAATATAAAAAATATTTAAATAACTTTTATATTGTATTAAAATATTTATAATAATTATAAGTTTTTCTAATAATAAATTAGTTTTTTAATTTAATAATATGAATTTTTTTATTTTTTTTTATTTTAAATCAGATTGCAAATGAAAACATTTATTAATTCAATTTTTAAAAAACAATATAGGTTTTAAACTTTATTGTTCTATATTTTTTAAGTGATACTAAGGAACTTAGATAGGCAATTACATCTATAAGCCTTGTATTAAATTCTTCTGATAAAGAGATATATATATTATATTATGGATTATAAATCTTATAATTACAAATCTAAAATTATAATAAAAATAATATATGAAAACTATCTATTTCTTTAAAAAAAAAATACAAAAGAACTAATTATAATATAAAAAATGTTTAATAAGTATGTTACTCTGATAATTTCATTCTTATAAAATATAATAATACTTTTTGAAATAGTTAGGCTATAATTTAAAATATATAAAAATATTAGTGATACTTTTTCTGATAGCTAATTAAATATAATAGTTAATGATTAATAATAGTAATAGTAATAATAATATTATTATTATTTAGATTTAGATATTTGATAATAATTAAAAGAATAATATAAATAAGATCAATTATAATACAAAAGATGTTTTAAATTAGGCATACTATATTAGTTGTTTTATCTAACTAAAATAAAATATTACTTTTAAAAATAGTCAAATTATTGTTTAAAATAAATAATAATATTATTAATATATTGCTTGAATTATATTTTATTACTGTGATCATATTTTGTTACTGTGATCATATATATATTTATTTATTTATTTATTATGCACTAGTATACATATGGCATAAATTATTTTGCTGTTGACTCAATTCCCAAAATTCTCAAAAATAATTACGTCATGACTCAATTATTTATATGTTTTAATAGTGACTCAATTAATTGCTTCAAATAATTGTGTCAATTGTATCAAGGATCTATGAATTTCAGCAATATGTATATGCACTAGCATAATTGTTTAACTAGAAATTATTCTTATAACAAATTTACATTTATTTAAAACATTGTTATCTAAAACAATACTATAATATATCAGTTACTAGTAATATTCAACTTTTATTGAGATTATTTCAAATAACAATATTTGTTATAACTTATTCCTAATTTATATTAGATATATAGACTAATCTATTGAACAAAGAAATTATTTTGTTTGGTCAGTAGCATGCATATTCATTGATAACTAATTAAGCTTTATTTCTACTGGGAAAGATTAAGAAAAGTTTTGAAAAGGAATATTAGAGGTAATATCTTTTATGGCAAATAAAGCTATATAATCTTTACTTGTTTTATTGGAGATAAATATTTTTATCACCACCTGCAGCTGAACTAACTATTTAATTTCTTATCTATCCAAATGATACCCAAGAATATTCAAGGTATTTATAATTAGTGCTTACTGCCTGAATACTAACTTATGTAACTTTGCAGAGAACAGATCTTATTGCCAAATATTTTCTCAAGATAAGTATCACCAAACTAATTCATTACTAAATAAAATGAAACTAAAGCAGAGATCTATATAAAAGATATCAAATATTAAGAAAATAATTATCAAACCTACTTATCAAAAATAGATATCTTATATACCTTGCTATTTCTAATATTTATTATAATATCAACTGAATAGTTATTATACTATAACACTTTTTTTGAAAATTACAATCTCAATGCCTGCTGAATCAATATGTGAAATAGCTTCTTATGAAAAACAATACTTTTACAAATTATAGTACTAAATATCATATTAATTCTATTTAACCATTCTCACATAAAGTTGAATTGGTATCTTGTGATTTGATCTATGAAGTGTTAACCACTATATTATGGATCCACAGATTTATTATTGTTATTATATTTTATTATAATAATTATATTTTATTTTTATTTTTTTTATTTTTTCCTTATACTAACTAGAGCCATTGCTCAGTATACTTTATTATTGTAGAGATTTGCTATAATATCTAACTTATTTTGTATATTGAACTATATCGAGATTTCTCCAAATGCCGGCTCTGAGTTTTTGGTTTATTCTATAACCTGGATTATAGCAAAGGAACCAAGACTAGTATGTCAAGACTCCACTAGTGTGTTTAGCATCACTACATTATTTAGGTTTTATTTGGAGATATTTTTAAGGGAAAGGGAAAGTGGGAAACTGGTGATAATACTTTTTTTTGATAAATAAAACCCTATTCAAAATTATCTTACCGCTCTGTATCACCTGCAGCTGGCCTTTGACTATTTAATTCCTACCTTCCTATTATGGCTCAGGGATGTTCAAGGTACTTACAACTATAGATTTACAACCTACAATAATCTTTTATAGCTACTTGGAAATACTAGATGCCTTCTTGGGATAAGCAGTACAGGGGTGGGCTTCTTACTGGATTGGAATGGGACTTTTGAATAACCTTTTGCAGAAAAGACATCAGATATTATAGGGAGCGATTATCAAACCATCTTGTACTAAACCAGATACCTCATACACCTTACAACTTTCAGCGATCATCATAGCACCAACCAGACAATCGTCACACTACTATATCTTTTCTGGAAATCACAATCTCAACACCCACTGGATTAGCGTATGAAAAGGCTTCTTATGAGAAACAGCGCTTATACAGGTTATGGCATCAGATACTATATTAATTCTATTCAACCATTCTTACATGTGGTTAAACTGATATTTTGTGATTTGACCTGTGGAGTGTTAATCACTACACTATAAACCCACAGGTCTAATAATTATATTTTATTATTGTAATTGTTTATTTTTTTTTTTTTAACTCTTACCATCAATTCAGGTATTTGTTTTCATTACCTACTAGTCTTCTGATGTTTTTTCAGGATACAGGGATGATGACGTCGGTCCTAATTACTCGTCTTAGGCCTAAGCCTCTAAGTATAGATGGTGGGGGTGGAAAGTTGCTATTTCAAGGCAAGCAGACCTTTGTTATTATGCCAGGATAATCATTGCCTGCAGCCACCACTACAGTATTTCAACCGTTCAGTTTAACCAAGACTTACTAGGATTTAGTCAGTGAGATATCATTGGTGAGATGAGGGTACACCAGTACACCAAATTTGCCTGGGAATTGGACCCAGCCTCACCCTTCCTAATCTGACCTAGCAACACATGTGGGGGGTTACAATTTATGAAGACATACAGTCAACCATCACAAGTGTACCCCTTAGAATAGAACATCCTGTGATACAAGTGATCTCCTACAATTCTGACTGGATTCTCGCTACCAATGAACATGTGAAACTCTTACTGATAGTTGTACGACTAATGGTTTTAGTCGTCTATACCTTTCCTTCTACTACTGGAAAGATCCCATGAAACTTCTTCCCCCTTTTGGAGGTATTTCCCGAGCAATACTTGATCAAAAAGTTTTACCAATCAAATCATCTATCTTTTGACCTATGGGGTGTAGTCTACCCATAAGACTTCTTGATCACCAGAACAACCCAAATTGCTCTCTATTACGAGTTACAGGAGCAGTGACACAAAGTCCCATTTTGGGATATGTGAATTGCTCCTAGCTGGAGTTGAACCATAGTTCATAAATTAGCCCTACCCTGCTTTAGCCCACTGGATTATAACCAGGTAGGTCTATTATTGTAATTGTTTATATTTTTATTAATATAATAATTAGTTAAATAAATTGATAAAAGTAAACTAATTATAGTTTTTTTATAAAAATTTTTTTAAATAAAGGTTTTTAATTTTTTATAACATAACAAAATATTCAATTTTCAAGTTTATATTAAATTTAATAGGTGGGATATACTCTACTATCATTTTTAATAGTGTTCTGAACCTCATGTGATTCCCTATGATTCTGTTTGATTCTAATTTTCAGAACCATACAAAATATATTAAAC